TTTATCTCTGCAAGGATGGCACCACCTTGCGAACGTTCTTTGTGAGAATTCCTGGTGGCTGGTGTGTTGGTGCTGTTCTCCAGTTGCATGGATCTACTGGGATGACGGGGCTGTAACACCTCAGGACTGTGGGCTCTTTAAGCTCTCTGCATCTTGCTTTACTTTCCTGTAAAATTAGGGATCTGGCCAGACCAGGTGCAGTCAAGGTTATCTCAGCTCCAATCCAACCCCAGGGTCTCTAGGAAACTCCTTGAAGCCTCTCACTTTCTCCATGTTTGTTTGCCCTTGGCATCCATGGTGCGGGTCTCTGCATCCGTGCCAGGAACTGAAGGAACACATTTCAGTCCAAACAGAACGATCACTACCTTTCTCCGGTGTTTGCTTTCTGCGGCAGGCAAGGGCCAGTGCACAGGGGGTGTTAGGGGCCTTTTGGGAACATGAAAAGAAACCGTATTTGGCACTGTCCTTGAAGGGAAAATGCCTTTGCATTCGGAATGGTCGAATCCCTTCTCAAGTTGGAGGAACAAAAACTTAAGTCTTGTATTTATTAGGTTTCCTGGAGTCTCTGGTGACTGGGTCGCAACCCCACGTGCCCCAGAAGAACCGCGCCCACTGGCTGTTCTAGGCTGTCAAGACATCTTGGCCAGGCCTTTTCTTCTGCGGTGTCATTGGGTGGGTTTCGGCCGCCAACTTTCCTTTGCGAGGTTGAGCGCTTAACCACCGCGCCACCAGGGCCACCCCGTCTTGCCGTTGTCCCGTGTTGATTCAGAAGGCGCACACATCGTGGGGACGCAGGCCTAGCGGTTTCATCTCCCTCGCAGGTGTGACTTGACTCGCGTTTGTCCCGCTGGGTCAGGGCCCTCTTCTGAGCTTCGGGAGGGCGTCTCAGCCACGCTGGGAGAAGCAGCGTCTCCAGTTTTCCAGAAGAAAAGACCAGCAGAGAGTTCTCCATGCCACAGCCGTCTTCTTGGACGCGGTGAGAGACAGAAGGCCGTAAAGCTACGGATCCGGTCCGATGGACGTAAAACTGCCGTAAAGCTGCGGGGCACATGCGCAGTATGTCCCACGTACTTCCCTGTCTGATCCTGGGTGTGTGTGGGGGTGGGGGTGGGGGTGAGGTGAGGGGTGTTCAGCCCGGGAGCTGGATTTGGGGGTGTCCCTCTTTGCTCCTCACCTAGCCAGACGCAGGTAACGCTCTCTGTCTCTCCTCACCTCGATGTCTCGAGATCGGTGTGTTCAAATCACACTGGGCAGGATGTACCATGTACGACACCAAAATGCAGTTCCCTGGCAGATGCATCTCCCATCATGTGTCCAGAGGGGACTTTCCTGTCTGCACTGCATGGGTTTTGCCGTGTAGGGAGCCATGGAAGAGGCCCTGGCTGGTTTATCCTAGGGGGGGTTTCTACCCCAGGTCAGAGCTCACACATTCTAGAGCCCAGGCCTAGCAGGAATCGGTGGCCTGATGGGAGAAGGTTTAGCGACACAGCAGGAGCCATGGCCCATGCAACCTGCCTCAGCCTGCCAGGCCACTATCCAACAACCTGACCAAGACACACGATCCTCTCTCATCAGGTTTTACCTACTGAACGTTTGTTCAACTCCGTTTGCGTCCAAACGGGGCGCTCAGAGGAAGCTTCTGGCTGTGTGCTTTCCCACTTGTATCAATCTTTTCAGGAAGGCCTGATAGCCAGGAGGCACTGCTGGGGCTCTGGAGCAAGTGTTCTGTGAAGCCGGCCGGTGAGCTGTCTCTGGCCACCTACCTACTGCATCTGCTTCCTAAATCAGCTGGCTTGGCCCAAACTTGGGGGACAGAAGGGGTGGTGGTGAAAGGGATGGAAGGGAAAGATATTTTCTTAGCTGTTTTGTATTCTGCTAGTAGAATTGTTAGACATTAGGCTTTAGGCTGCTGGCTGCAAGATCAATGGTTTGAATCCACTAGCTGGTCTGTGGCAGAAAGATGAGGCTTTCTACTCCCCTCAAGATTTACAGCTTTGGAAACCCACAGGGGCCAGTTTTACCCTGTCCTAGAGGGTCGCTATGAGTCGGAATTGACTCCACTGCAATGATTTTTTTTTTTGCTTACTTCTTTATAGAACAATTAGTGAAGTCTATAAAAATCTGTCATGTTCCTCTATTTTGGAAGAAAACAACCCTTATTATAGTTAGAATTCCTTTCAGTAAGTGCTCTGATAATATATTAACGAAAGTAACCGTTTCCTGTCCAGGGGGAAAGCATTTCTAACAGAAATAGAAAAGGGCAGTGGGGGAGGGGCGTGCAGCAAGGACAGTGGACTATGGAGGCAATGCTGCCCTTGGTGATGAGTCTTGGGCTGAGGTGGCTCAAAAGGAACAAAAGACCTTCCAGCACTAGATGTTTCTCCTTTCTATTCCCTAAGAGGGCTGAGGCTGAGACAGCTAAAGGGCAGGCCCCAGAGAGATCTGGGAAGCCCAAGAGGAGAGCGTCTTAAACCAGACAGCCGTTCTGCACCAGACGGTCGTTCTAGCCACTTGAGAGCCTTGGCTACTTGTTAATAACAGCCGTTTAAAGACAGTCAGTCAGGCGCATAGTACTAGTTTCAGAGTGTGGGTCACATGTAGGCGATGTCAGAAGGCGGTTCGACGTATTTCTTGTAGTGTGTGTGCATGTGTGTGTTGGAGTGCTGGTGGTGCAACAGTTAAGTGCTAGCCAAAGGGTGGGAGGTCTGAAAACGTCTGCAGCTTGCCAGAGAAAGATTTAGGGATGCCTGTGGAGGAAGCACAACGGGACAACTTTACTCTGTCACCTGGGGGCTCCAAGTCAACTTGACGGCACCCAACAACCAGTCACTCATTCATCCACTTCTTTGTGGCCTTCCACACATTGTAAGGTAAGAAAAACGTTGAAGAGAAGTTGGAGTCATCTGGGGAGCAGGGAGTTGGGTTTTCTTGGGGAGCGGGGATTAAGACACTTATAATTCCTCCACTAGAGTCCTTCCTGAGTCTCTGACTACAAAATCGCGCTACAGGGCTGTGTTTATTCTGTAGACGTAGGGGGGTGATGGCCTGAATACTGAGGTCTAGGGAAGCGGGGCACCTTTCCTCACTGCCTGGGACACCCCAAGAAGGCACTATCCTTCTGCATCTGCATCTTACACAGGCTGTGTAAGATGTTTGTTGTGATTATCCCATGAGCAGTGTGGCAGTACACAACTTGCTCAGCTACAAGAAGACGGAATTGCTTATGAAAATGCTGATCTCCTGGGCATTTAATAAACTCTTCATATTCTCAGGCAATTTCTATAAATGATCTCACTGAATTGTCCCCTGGATCCCCAGGCCGGTTCTCCAATAAGCCCCATTTTACAGATGTAGGTGTTGGTGAAGCATCTTCTCCAGTACTGGGACAGGAACCAGGGCAGCTCGGTTCTACAGGTGCAGCGTCAAAGACTCTGTTCTTTTAACCAGGGTCCTATCCTAGCTGGCTTCTGTCTTGGTGTCAGATGGACCAAGGTTGTAATCCAGGGCCCGTGGCATGGTTGCTGGGCCAACTGGCCCGCTCTGGCCCACTTACTAACATGGGGCCTCAGGTAGAAAAATGGTCATGGGGCAGTGTGGGGCAAGGAGACAAAGCCCGTGCAGGCCCAGCCTGGAGCTGGTCTCTGTCCTCTCCCTCTCATGTTAATATCCCTCCCACGGGAGGGCGTTCTCACTTGGGAAAGACGGGGAGGGAGAGATTAAGAGACCCACTGACTCATGGGAGCTGACAGTCTTCTTTCTCCTGTGGAGCAACTGGTGGGTTTTATCAGGTGTGCAGTCCAGTGCTCACCCCACTGAGCCACCAGCGCTCTCTCTGCCTCTTCTCTCTCTTTCCCTGGAGAAGGCCTTTGACTATCTGTTGGCACACGGAGCTCACTTCAGATTGGACATCAACCTTCCTCATGATCTGTACCACAGAGACAGGGAGGTTTCAGTGCAACCTTCTTAACAGTTCTTAAGCCTCCTTTTCTTCCAGTCTCGTCTCATCTGTCTTCTTTCTTCCTCTCTCCTTACTCCCCCAGAAGGGAAAAAAAGAGAGGAGGAGGTAGGGGGCTGGAAACAGTGATGGTGTGTGTGTGTGTGTGTGTGTGTGTGTGTGTGTGATGCAAAGGTCTAACATGCTTAGCTGCTGGAACGCACTCAGGCGCCTCAGAAGAAAGGCCTGGTTATTTACATGGACAACCCTGCAGAGGGCGGTTCAACTCTGACATGTCAAGGGTTGCCAGGAGTCGGGATCCACTCAGCTGATGAGCCCCTTATCTGACAGGGGGTGCTGGTTGGAAGAGATGGGGGGATTTGTACAGATGGACACTGGGTCAGACAAAAAGGAGGTGGCCCTGGGGAGATGGCCTACTAGGACCAAGAGCATAAAGGAGCTGTCTTCAGGGAGATGGTCCAGCTTGATTGCCAAAAATAAGCCCACAAGTGCCCCCAGGTATTCGCATCGCTGCCTCTCTCAGCCTCCTCCTCTCTGCTGCACCCCAGTCCCCAGCCCAGGAACCAGCCAGAGCTCAGAGGTAGGTCAGCAATGCCTGCCAGGGGGAGACTTCTCCAAAATGGAACCTAGCTGGTTTCAATGCCCATCCTTGCTTGAATTAACAGGCTAATATTTTTTTAAGTTCCTATTCTAATCTTTGGGGGAAAAGAATTTAAAAATAGTATCACTTCAACCTTAAAAAAAAAATCCTAAGGGGAGGCTGACAGAAGGATCTCTTAAAAAAAAATCAGGATTTTAACTTGAAGGGTTTTTGTCATTCAGGCATTTGATTGGGTCCCAGGGAATTACCTACATTCAAGCTGTACTTGCCTGGGGCCGAATAGACTAATTCCACTTCCAATGGGAGTCTCCGTTTGGCAGCTGTCTCCTTCGAGATGAGTCTACGTACACTCGAATTAACTGGCCTGCCTCCCCCTGCCTGGGTGCGGGGCTCGCTGACCTGAAGTAGATCTGGGAGTGGGGGCGGGGCGGGGTGGTGACTTACGTGGGACACCTTGCTGGAGGGACCCAGTCCGGAAGAGAGTGGGGGGCGTCTTCCGGCTCAGTCTCTTCAGCAGGCGGTCTCGCTCGTTCACCCTACAAGGAAACCGCAGACAGAGGCAGCATGGTCAGTCAGGAGTCCGTACTTGTACATCTGCGGATGTACATCTTCAGCGGAGGATCCGTGGTGTAAAACAGAGCACACAGACCAGAGAAGAACGCTTCCCCACAAACACGCTATCCAGGCTCACAGTCCACCCCTTTCTTCGCAGTTGATGCGACCTTGACATGGTGAGCACATCCCCACCCCACCGTCCTATGCTCAAAGGTGCTCTGTTTCCACACCTCCCACCACTGCACACGATGTCTCTGACCTTGGCCTGCCTCTGAAGTGAAGGGAGTACGGCCAGAGCCCTTTTCCGCCTGTCAGGGTCAGCTAGAAGTCTGGATGACTCATTGCAAACTGCCTTACGTAATCCATATTCCACCGGTCGCGTCCCGATGACTCATCCCAACACCCAGCAGGACAGGGACTGAGGCGCGTCAGTGGAGGCCTGCCAGCAGCCCTCTATCAAATCCAGTGCCATCCCTGTAGAAACGGTCAAGGTCCTCAGCTTGTGAGGCAACCAGCTCAGTGATGGAAATGTATGTCGCTCATTAACTCTTCCCGGGGACTGCTGTTTTGTCTTGATGTCTTAGATGTATGGCTCCTTTTGTAGGGATGGGCAGTCACGTGGGAGAAACTTGCTGCCTTTCCTCTGGCTTTTGACCCAGATCAATCCCAGTCCCAGCCCTTGGCTCTCTCCAGAGCAATTGTCAGGAGTCATCTATTTCCACGGTAAAGGGGTTTCAAGGCCTCAAGCTCACCCTCGGCTCCTCTTTCCCAAAGCCAAGACACCAGGTGAGGGCAAGAAAATGCTATCCACCCATCTCAATCTCCTGTAGCTCTGTTCTTTCTGTAGCACGTGAATCTTCTTTGAACAGATGGGGATGTTGAGCTCATGAAAAGCCAGTGGAGCGTTCATTCAAAACACATACGGGCAGCTCTCTCCCCCTTCAAGATTGGCGTTGCTGTGAAGGACTACGGATTTACGCTGGCGGAGCTACATGGATCCACCAGCAATGCTCCTGGAAGCAGCAGTCAGGAAACCAGATGACGCGGTGCGCTGGGCAAATGTGCTACAAAAGGACCACATGAAACGTTCCAGAGCAAGGGTGTCACAATGAGGACGGTGGCACACCGGATCAAGCCCTGGCATTTCCTGTCACCTCATGCGCACAGGGACACTGGACCGTCCACAGGGAAGGCTGGAGAAGAACTGATACTGTTGAGTTTCGGTGTTGGTCAAGGATAGATACATAAGCTCACCGGGGGTGGGAGCCAACTCCATGGCCACTAGCAGCATCACCTGCGAGGACAGCGGACGCTCACATTATAAACCCAAAGACGATGCTAAAAAGTTGTGCATTTTCGCCAATGTGCCTGGTTTCCCATGATCAGTATGTTACTTCTCCTGGCCACAAAGAGGCCTCTGGAGTTTGCCAATGGTATACACTGCTGTTTGCTGCAGTCTGAAGGTGGTGGAAAAAGCCCAGGAGGTGTGGTGGGTTGCATGTTGTTCTGCTAACCCCAAGGTCATAGTTTGAAGTTACCTGGAGGGAGAAGGATGAGGCTTTCTACTCCCAGGAAGACTTACCCACCTCGGAAACCCAAAGGGGCAGTTCCATTCTGTCCTCTCGTGTCATGACGAGTCAGAATGGACTGTCCGAAGGACAACCAAGTCTGTCTTAGAAAGAAGTGCAGCCAAAGTGCTCCCTAGAGGCAAGGATGGCGAGTCGGATTCTTACACACTTTGGACATGTTAGCAGAGACAAGTCCCTGGAGAAGGACATCGTGTTTGGGAGACAGATTGGCCCAGGGACAGCATCCATGGGCTCAGGCACAAGGGCAACTGTGAGGATGGCGCAATGTTTCATTCTGCCGTCCACAGGGTCGCTGTGGGTTGAAACGGACTGAACAGTAAATGTATCAGAATTGATTCAATAGTAGTAGTCTGTTGTTTGTTTTAAGAGCTTTTGGGGAGAGGGTGCTTGAGGGCTCTGGTGGTGGTGTGGGCAAGGTGCTAACCACAAAGTCAGCAGTTCAAACCTACTGGTCCCTCTGGGAACAAAAATGAGGCTGTCTGTTCCCATAATGATTTATACTCTCGGAAACCCTACATTGGGTCACTTTGAGTCGGAATCACCCCAATGGCAGTGGGTTTGGCTTTGGGGTTTGTGAAGCCCGTTTGGAGCTGGCCCTGTGTGCTGTCTCTGAGACCTTCCCCCTGAGAGTGTCCTTCCGGGCACCGCCCGGGGCCTTCTGAAGGGCCAGGAAGCCCTGGCTGTTTTTAGACCTCTGTGAGCGGAAGTCGACTCAGCACCGGGCTTGTCAGAAGAACTCAGTTTCTAGTCGTCTGGGTTGAAATGACAATGTTTAATCCATCACCAATTAACAACGAGCCTCAGCTAGCCAAGCCTGGCAAACACCAAAACCAAGGCTGATGAGGGAAAATGCTCTATCCCTCCACACAGCATCCCGACTGCTTCCCATCTCTTTCTTCCTGGGGCCAAATTAGTCTCCCTGGGCCCCACCGGGCCTTGGCTGGGCTGCAGTGGCATGCATATAAATGATCTGTGAGCCCAGGGGCTCACCTGGCCCTCTCTGTCAATGCAGTCACCAGACCGTTCGTACAGGGCTCTGCTGTCTACCTGCAGGATGTGGGAAGTGTTGGGAGGGTCTGTCCTCTTGGGCTCAGACTTGCCCAGTAAGAGCCGTGGTTCACTGGTGTGCAGAGGACTGCGGCGCCCTGCTCCAGGCTCTGTGTGTGGAAAGGGCTGGGGCCACCTTACCAGTCAGGACACAAAGGGTGACCAATGCCTTCTTTTCAGAACCTCAGGCTCAGGCCTGTGCCTCTCCTCCAGATACCATCTGGGACATCACCCGTCTTTCACAGCCAGTTGCTCCTCCCATGAGGATGACCCACAGACACGGATGTGGGTGGGGTCTCACAAATCTTATGAGCGGAGTTGCTAACCCTGAGGTGTGCAGTTGGAAACCACCAGCTGCTCGGAAGGAGGAAGATGAGGCTTTCTGTTTTTGTAAAGATTTTCAGCCTTGGAAACCCACAGGGCAGCTCTACTCTGTTCAAGGGGTGGGGTGGGGGTGGGGGTGGGTGGGGTGGTGGGGTGGGGCTAAGAGCCAGAGAGGAATCGATGGCAGAGAGCGGGTTGCAGGTGAGTTTTCAGAACCGCAGCCACCTCACATAACGAGGCACAGGGCCGCCTGCCCTTGGCCATCGCTGTGTGGCTCCTGCCTTGCTGGGCTGAAGCTCATCCATCGCCCTCGTGAGATGACAATACCTTCATGTCTTTATTTTGCTTTTGATAATGAAATAACCCAAACAAAGGCTCATTCACTGCCATCGAGTTGCTTCTGATTCATAGTGAGCCTGTAGCACGGAGACGGAATCTTTATGGGAACTGGCAGCCCCATCGTTCTCCTACGGAGTGGCTGATGGGTTCAAACTATTGACCTTGTGGCCAGCAGCCCACTGTTTACCCCCGTACACTACCAGGATGCCTCCACACACGCACAGACCAAGCCCACTGCCACCGAGCCCATTCAGACTCACAGCGACCTTATCGGGCAGGGCAGAGCTGCCCTCGTGGATTTCCAAGATTGGAACTATGGGAGTAGAAAGCCTCACCTTTCTCCCTCAGAGTCGCTCGTGGTTTTGAGCTGCTGACCTTTCGGATTGCAGCCCAATGCATAACCACTAGGCCAGGGGCCTCTTTCCAAACATATGGGAATGGTAAGAACCACCATAACAAACCAACCAAAAGACCCCACCCCCAGGTGTCCAGCCTTGCTGTGAGGTGCCCTTGAGTCCGTTCCAGTGCCCAGCAGCCCTGTGCCAACAGAGCCAGGCCCGGCCGGCTGGCCGGCGCACCCACAGCTGTCCCTCTGCTGGGGCTCACTGTTGCAGCCACCGTCAGGCCATTTCGACAAGAGCCTCTCCACGTCACCGAGCACGAGGCCCTGCTCCAGGGCCCGGTCTCTCCTGACAACACGACCAAAGCCCACGAGACAAAGTCTTCTCATCCTTGCCTCTAAGGAGCTTTCTGGCTGTACTTCTTCCAAGGCAGATTTGTCTATCCTTTGACAGTTCACGAAATGGCCAGTACTCTTCTCCAGCACCACAACTCAGACGTACTGATTCTTCTTCAGTGTTCCTCATGCAGTGTCCACCTCTTACATGCATATAAGGCGACTGAACAGACCATGGCTGCGGTCAGGCACACCTTAGTCCCCCCTTACTTTTCGACACCCCAGAGAGGTCTTGTGCAGGAGACTCAGCTGTAGCCAATATTGAGCACAGCTCTTTGATATCAATATTGTAAGGACCTTATTGGCCCACAGCTCTGGTCTCTGTGAGGTTAGCAGTGCCGGGGGCGAAGGAGCCATGTCTACACAGACGCCCCTGCCCATAGTGATTTGGGATCCCGGAAGTCCCTGCTCCAAGTCTGCGCCCAAGCGCCTGTCCTTGATGTGCCACCTTGACAGTACGAGGCCGATTCCAACTCCTAGGACCCCATGTGACATAGAACTGACAGTGTCCCATTCACATGCCAGCCCCCTCACCCAGAGCCGAGCTGGGCTGCGGAGGGAAGAAGATCAAGATAAGTGACGCTGAGTAGAAAACGGTACGCAATCTCTGCTTCGATCTTACTGTATTTCATACACATGTTCCTGGTGAATTTGATGATCTGCCTTAATCTTTAGAATCATTGCTTTCAGATAAACGTGCATCTTTTGTGATTTTAATGACAGCAACATGTAGGAGTAGACAGGTCCCCAAAATCCATTTTGTGTGAATTCTTCCTGGGCAACACTACAGCTCACTATTGGTCTCAAGCCCTAGATAAAAACAGAACGATTGGGAAACCGTGGTGTGTGCTGGTGGAAAAGAAAGGTCCCTTGTTTTTTTTGGAGGGAATAACTTTTAAAATACTTGAGTGGCTAAGTTTACTCGGTACAGGAAAAAATTAAACTT